TGGGGGTTAGTGATACTCGTTACCACTTCATGCGAAGGAAACCGAGATAAGCTCTGGCTGGGGAGAGGGGAGGGGAGGGGAGGGAAGAGGGCCTCTTGGCTCGAATACAGACTTTACTACTCTTGGTGTTATGTTTGCATCTAGTGGTTAAGATGTGGGACGGTTGTTCTGAGACTTTGCACCCTTCTTGTAAAACTATAATTTTCAAAGACCAAACAAATAACTGAAACATACCAAGATGTTCTGGTCTTTCAACAAGCCTCCATTGTAATTTAAAAGTCTCAAGCATTCTGCACATGATCTCATAGTTTAGTTTCTCATATTTTTCCCCTCAGATGGCGTTCAAGTATTTGTCATGGGCGCTCTTTCCGTTGTTGGTGTGTTATGCTGTATATTCATTGTTGTATGTGGAACACAAGGGTTGGTATTCCTGGGTCCTCAGCATGTTATATGGCTTCCTTTTGACCTTTGGTAAGTGTTTTTTGGTTTTTTTTTTTTTTTTTTGTTGTTGTTTTTTTCGGTTTAATAGTTTTAGCCTGTTCTTGGCGTTCAATTAGTCAAACAGAGCGCAGCGGGATGGGAGCGGCGGAGTGAAAAAAGGAGGGAAGTTTGAGTCTGGTTTCATAACGAACAGCTCGGCCCAAGCTTCCCTCTTTTTTTTCAACCCGACCCAGGTCATCTTTCGTTTCATTTTCGCTCCGCCGCTAGTATCGCGCCTTTTGTGAGTGCGTTCTGTTCTTCTAACTGTAACATTAGCGCAGGCTAAGTAGCTAAGTTGAGGCTTATTGCAAATAGGTCATTTGGTTATATCGACTAAGTTGAAATTTTAAATTGGCCACCGTAAAGAGTTAAAAAGCTGACGTTTTGAGCGTTAGCCCTTCGTCGGAGCGAATCACAGCGAATCACAAATAGGTCGCGTTTTTAGACTAAAAAAAAAACGATCTCACTGACCTTTTAAAACAAAAGGGAATGAAAGGAAAGTATACCTAGAAAACAATCAGAAGTTAAAGTTAATGCCTTGAAAAACGTAGCCTGCTTTTTAATTGCGAGATTCGGCGCTGCGAGTATTCGGTCGCCATATTGGACGGGTGGAAGATTTGGGAGTAACAAAGCGAGGGGGAGGGGAGGAGGGGAGAAACAATCAGACAGAAATGACTTCAATCCCAACTAGGTTATTATCGTTTTTCCGCGCGTTTGATGTCTCGCGCTTGAAAACACAAACTACCGCCGGCAAGCAGGGTATGAAACACAGATCAAGCGTCCGGGAATACGCCAATGACCTATTTGCGATTGATGTTAATTATGTCTGACTGATTGTGAGGGTAGCGCAAACTTTTTTTGTAGACCAACCCCTCAGCGAAGGAAAGCAAAACCAATACCCATCACTTCCCACACTCGATATCGAACCGTTTGAACTGCACGTCCATTTTGTGCAACCATGGTGGCGAGGTTTTTCGTTATTTAATAAAAAATTGATTCTACCTTGCAAACATCATTTCACTTATCAGTTTTAGGTTTTTGCCAATAAATTGAACCCTTTAACCCCTGAGAGCGATAAAATTTAATTCTCCCCAACAGTATCACCCCTAAAACCAACTTTGAGGTTCTGAGAGTTATGAAAATCATCGTCAACTCAAGAGGCTCTTGATTGTTAGACAAATTCTCCTTGTAAGTACCACGGGAAATGTGAAGAGAACAGTATGGAGAACTTGCAAACTGATGTGAGGGTGTGAAGTATTAATTACGTATCTTTGTTGAATAATCTCCTCAGGATTCATTATGATGACCCCTCAGCTGTTTATCAATTATAAACTAAAATCTGTGGCTCACCTTCCGTGGCGTATGATGACGTACAAGGCTCTTAACACTTTTATCGATGATCTTTTCGCTTTTGTCATCAAAATGCCAACTTTGTACCGCTTGGGATGCTTCAGAGATGGTAAGTTATTTTTATTAAGGAAAACTTAACAGAGATGACCTTTTTGGTACAGTAGAAACTCTGAAAAGCGTATCATCTTTAGTTCTTTTTATTAAATAAACTGCGGTGTTTTAGAAGGATTTCCGGCCCTGAGAGAATCCGCAACAGCACACGTCTAAAATTACGATAATCTTTTACGTGTGTTAGATATCGCCAATCAGCTTCTGACACGTCACGTGCCACTTTGTCAGGTCGATGATTGAATGGAAAAGCGTTCACCATTCTCAATCCAAGGCCGTTTGACGAATTTTCTTGTCCGTAAAGGTCTATGGTGTTTGTATTTTAAATGATGCATGGCTGATTGTACATATAGGTATATTATTTCTCTTTTTGTATCGGAAACTCGAAGAGCAATTCCTAATCTGCGTGCGTCCGTGCATTATTCTCTATTTATCAATGGCCAATGAAGTTTAACTCAGCTTTACTTGTTATGTTTTCATCGCAGATATAGTTTTCTTCATCTACTTGTACCAGCGATGGATCTATCCTATCGACCCGAAACGTGTCAATGAATTTGGTCTAACTGGTGAACCTGTGGATAATACTGACACTGCAGACCCCAATGAGGCAAGGCCTTCTGAAGATGGCGCTGCAACAACTGGTGCTCAAGTCGTATCGGATAAAAAGAATGATTAATTCCATGAACTGTTTGCAATTTTTTAGCAAAATGGGGAATTTAAACTTCAAATTCAGCCATTTGTAATGAAGCATTATTTATGTTCCATTATAGTAGTTCTGTTTTCCTTTATGATTCATGTATTTATCCAGTGCAGTGACGTGACAAAAAATTTAAACTCTTGCATGATCTTTGACATCGTTTTGCAGTACGGGGTGGGTGCAAATAAATCTACGTGTCTTCAAAGAGGAATTTTTCAACCTCTTGTCCAAAGGAATCCGGGTTTGCATTGATGTCACTTCACTTGTCTTTGAGGGATCACATGGTTTTTAGAGGGGGGAAGAGAGGGGGGAATCAGTCCTCGCCAATAGAGTATGAAGCGGGGGGGGCTATAGAAAATTGACTGCCAATCGACAGCCAGTGAGGGAGGGGGTGTCGTTAGAATATTAGAGAGTCTTATGGGGGAGGATCAGGTAAATGTAATCGTGACACAACTAAAATCCAATCACCCTCCCCCACCCCTACCCCCCCATCCAACCAGGTGAGAAATAATAGGTTGTCTTTATTTTGCGTATTCCAGGGATCCTTTCAATTCAGTGTAGTTCCCATTATTCGTCGATCGTTGCGATCACTTTGATTTTGGTGTAATGGAACGATATGCGATCTGCCATCATTTTTGAAAAAAAAATTATCGCTCAATTCAGTCACAAAGTTGAAAGTCCACGTTGCAAAGTCAGTGATACATATGCAATACAGAAAGGGGTCCAAACATCGTGGAAAAATGAAGTCATGATCTACGAGGTGAAATTTGCCTTAAATCTACTGGTGGAGAAAAAGCGTTCGGCGCACAGGTCACTCACTTCGATACGTATTTGGATAGACGTCAACATTCGTTGGGATGGTGTTCGAGAACGTTCAAACTATCCATGTTTTGTTTTTGCTTTTGTTTTCTTGTATTTTTTGTAGGTGGACTCGCGTCAGAGCCAAAAGAGAATGAAATTTCCAAATTAATTTAAAACTTATACAAGTGAGATTTACAACCAGCTTGACTTTAAGGAGTCTTGGAGCCTTACTTAGCGGATTTTTAAATAGATAAATACACTTTATTTAGAGAGGGTGGCACGGAATAGTTGAAGTAACTAATAAACTTGTGGCCCTCTATAACGCCCATCCATCCCATCCCACCCCAGGGGAGGACATTCACTACACAGTACTGTGCGTGGGAAATTAACGTCTCCTACCCCTAACCCTGCAGGAGACGGGGCCTACGGTTTATTCGTCCTTATCCGAGAAGACTGAAAAGAGTGTCTGCGCGAAAAACCTTTTTTTTTTCTATGATAAAATTAAATGGTCTTTTGAACTTTCTCCGACTTAACTATAGCATAATTTCCTGAACAAATCGTCGTTTCAATGCAACGCTTTAACTCAAGATCAAAACTGACGAAATATGTAAATGTATTAAGTGCAGGCAATTTTCTTTAAACATGTTCAAAGTTAAAAGTTATTAATATGCAAATGATATGAAACTGGTGTCATTGAATTCAAACAGGTCGGGGCATCTTTCTCCATTTGTA